CTACTACTACTACTACTACTACTACTACTACTACTACTACTACTGCTACTACTACTACTACTACTACTACTACTACTACTACTACTACTATCACGAATCATGAAGTTGGATTTCGTACAAAATTGCATGCAAATCTTCCGGTATTTTCAAATCCGCAACAAACAACTTTATGAGTTTTGAAAAAGATTGAAATAATTTTTGAATAATGAAAACCGAATCGCATGAACTATGCTATACAGTCACGTAACTCTGTTAATGCTTCGTGTTGTCGATGTGGTTGCCAAAAGAACGGTCCAGCAAACTGCGCGGATGCTTGTAGCCGAAATACCCGGTGATGTACAGGTACACTATTTTACGGCAAAAATTTGCTTAACCTTTTTATCAGAAGCAACAAGCTATTTTCCATCGTTGTGATAATTCGGTACCATAGTTACCTTTCAATCCTCTGCAGTCTAGATAGAAATGAAGATTGCGAGGTAATCATTAAATTAAATTATCGAACATAGTTTCTCATTTTTAAAGCCCAGTAGTTGGTGCATTATCCTTGGTTTAGGTATTACTAATATTATTAATTTAAATTTCTTTCTGTCATTGGTATTTTAGGCGCTGCCAGAAAGATATGTGCAAGTTCAACAAATGTTTTATTTCCTCAAAATTCTAAAAATATAAGAAAAAGAAAGGAGAATAAAATGCAGAAATTTGTTAAAACTGAAAACATTGGACAAAATGAAAATGTATCTTTCCGAAATTTCGCTATTAATTTAAGTTGACAACATGTGGCAGCACATAACAGGCGCATACGTATGCTAATAGCAAAGCCTAAGGCTAATTTGATAAATAGAAAAAAAAGAGAATAATAAAGTGGAATAGGGTGGGATTGCATAAATCACTTACTTTTTCAATTTTTCAATCAGAAAATAATTTGTAACTGATCCATAAATCAAAGGTGCTACTCCGGATCTTCATAATAAATATTTTTTTTAACGATTCCACGAATTCTGAGGTAGTCTGGAAGTATTAAAAAATAATTGATTTATACACTTTGAATAGTGCAAAAAAAAATTTGTGAATTGTGAAAAGTAAAGCGAATATTCAGTCAAAAGTCGATTTGATAACGTATTCTAAATGAAATGTCTGATTAAATATTTGGTGAAGCTAATATTAAGGCAGGTTTTCGCGTCATTTTGTCAAGTTATGTGTTTTCTTCCACAATATGGCATGTCGCAATGTGCAGTGAAGCATTGTCGCGTTAACTTGGATTACTCTTCCTTCATTCGACATAGGCAAAAAGAACTATGCAAATGATAATAGTTGTTTTTATTTTGATAATGTAAATAACCGCGAACGTCATGACACCAAAAACTGCCATAACACCTGTAAAAGGTCATAAACAGTAAGAAATATGGAAAATGCAGCTAAAATAAAAATCATAATTAACTGAATTGCAAATTAAGTAATAAAAATGAAGGACAATTTCGGGAAGACTCTTTGATCTCTCCTTCCTTTTCAATTTTTAAGACTATCTTCCGTTTTGATTAAATAATTATATATTAAATCTTATGCCCTCAATAGAGATTCGATGCCGTCAGGTACCAAAACCTTATAGGGTGAGAATCCTGAAGATCCCGGATAATGGAAATGTTTTGAGAGAAGAATATTAGCGTCAGAAAGATAGTATTATTAGCTTGTAGATCTTTATTTAAGGTTGAGATCCTGTATCAAATCTCTAGGCGGCTGACTAGAACCGTTAAATAGTATTAGCTCACCTGTTTGAGTTATAGGTTTAGACTTGGTCACTGTAAGACCCCAAGAAATGTGACTTTACACATCTGGTTGACTATGTAAAGGTCACCTCAAGTCACAAAAAGGTCACGTCTTTGAGTCGTTTATACTTAAATGATTTATTTATCGTGCATGGAAGTTATCTTTGTTTAGATCCAAACTGATATGACAAGCCAAAACATTCCTGTTTATGTATGTATGTGTGTATGTATGTATGTGTGTTGTGTGTGTATGTATGTATATTGTGTGTGTGTTGTGTACGTATGTATGTATGTGTGTGTATGTTGTGTGTGGGTATGTATGTATGTGTGTATGTGTGTGTGCATGAATGTATATATGTATCTATTTGTGTCTTTGTGTGTATATGTGTCTGTGTGTGTCTGTCTATATGCTCGTTTGCTTATGTGTGAATACAAGAGCTATCTGTCCAAAATTTAATTCACGCTTTCAAGCAAAATACTTACAAGACACATTCCCATGCTAATGGCTAATTTTATTTAGTTTATCAGTTTTATTTAGTTTATTATCGTACACATACGAGATGCACACACAACACACACGCACACACACACACACACACACACATACACACATACACACACATACACACATACACACACATACACACATGCACACACACATACATACATTACATACATATATATATACATGCGCGCACACACACACACATACACACACATAAACATAGATACACATAGGCAACGAGAAGTACTTCATCTTCAAGAGGAGCTACTTTTAACAAACACAGGTTGATTTGATGGGTGGTCGGAAATCTAATATATAAAATTTCACTTGAAAAAGAAACTTAAAAGACATTTAAGACAAAGTCGTTGAAATTCATGAAATAGAATTATTCAAAAAGTTTATGAAGATCAAATTTGGAAATTGAAATCGAAGAATGAACAGGTGAAATCAGAATCTCATATCTGAGTAAGCCAACAAACAGTTAAACTGTTCGTTTCATTTCATCTAGCATATTCACCCGTATTCCACTTCTTTACCATAACATATCCTCCGGTATTCCATTCCTTTGCTAAAGTATAAATTTCTCGAGATAACTTCCTGCTTTAAATCCACTCATTACTTGGGCTTTTGTTTACCTTAATCATTCAATAGAATAATATTCTATAGGCTTCTATCTTTTCCTCTTCCTCCTTCACAATGTAATGAGATGGTGACGACAACTTGCATGATAACTCAAAGTAACATCTGCGGATAATTAAAGAAACATTGTTAATAATTAAAAACTAAACAAACAGACATGATATCAGATGGATGAAGGAATCAATAAGTAGTTGAGTGAATAAACGAACGACAGGTGAATGAGGTAAAATGTATTCTTTTGATATTGTCATAAATGAATTTCCAATCTGTAACTTCTATATAATTCGTAGATTGGCGCACTATTCCCGTTGCATTATCAAATCACAGGTACTGAAGCATGTGGTCGAATCTGGGAACAGTACGGTATCCAACGTATGGAAATTGCCCTTAGTACGGTAGCCGAACTGAATGCATTGCTGCCTTTCAAGCTTGGTATCAGTATAAGGTAGATTAAAGATATTTAAATTAATATTCAATTAGTTTCCCAAATACTTTTTTAGTTTCAGAATATAATAGGCATTAATTTAATAAATATGATGAATATTAGCATTGAATTTGTCATTCTGCAAACCTCAAAAGTTAGATAAATACGTGATTAGCAGATTAAAAATACTTTTAAAATCCTGCCTCCTTTGAAAAAAATTCCAAATAGAACTTTCCTCTTTCCATAGATTATGATTATCGTAATACTTGACCAGAGAGATGAGATGATGTGGTAGGAGAAAGTTACACCATTCGCCCACTGTCATACCTAGGAAATATTCAAAGCAGATAGTACCATTCGTCTAGCTGAATGTTAAAACATCTAAGTGATTGAATGATAATAATGATATATCTGTCATCCATGTCATTGATTCTACGGACTGGTTAGCTTTTATGAAAGCAACTTTGAATATTCCCACTTTTTTATCCCAATATGATTGACAATTGCTTGGGATGATTGCATCGAAATGGCTGGCTGTTAAAAGTTTGAAAGGTTACTGTGATATTTTCCTTCTCAAACAAAATTTTAAAAAAATCGTAGGAACAATGAAATGTTTTTTCTTGGGTAACTTCTTTCTGATCACACAATGCTTCTTTTCTCTTTTCCCAGTAATAATACGTTTCATTCTGATATCACTGATAAGCTAAATACTAAATGGATTGAAAGAAAAGTTTCTTTTAAGAAAAGTTTTTTTGCGATCAAAACTCCAAAAAAAGGGAGAAAAAAACTAAAAATTGCATCAATTGTTTTTTTTCGTGCACAAATTTGATGATTTTTTGACTTCCAATGACAATTTAATGATTGATGTTGCAAATTCTGTTTATAAAGCCCACCGAAACATGAAAGATTTGATGACTGCTCTTGAATTTATAAATATGAGTTAACTTGAATCGTATTTATAAATAAATAAAATGACTTTTTGATCATCAAGGTGTTCACCTTCGTTGTTAGTAAAGTAAGCAAAAGCTCTCTCTGGCTGATTATTTTGTATCTTTTTGTCCTTTGAAGACATTTTAAAATTTCGGTTAGTCAATATAATCTGAGCTGTTCGAATCTAAATGGCGAACATGATGAAATAGAATATTTTGAGCTTATTTGAAGCTTCGAAAAACATATCGTTTTTTTGGCTTCATTCTTGTTCTTAAATATATATCAATATGCAATTTTGTTTCAGTTAATCTGAATTAAAGTTAAGATACAATGTCATACAAAATTTTTGATTTATCAAAGCTAAAAATTGTTGAATTCGCCCCAGTAATTCTAATCCTTAGGGATTCCTGCTGGACGGATCGTATTGCTATGGAGCAATCCATTGCATTTCTACGTGAAGGCGTTGGTCAGTGCTCGTGTACTTCAACTCCAGGTTGCCAGAAAAAGACAGCTCCAGTAGTGGCGATTGTTGGTCCTGCAAAGAGTTCCACTACAATTGCAGTACAAAATTTGCTACAAGTATTTCATATACCTCAAATCGGTTTGTTTTTGTATGCTTTCGAAATCTTGAAATCTGAAGTTGTTTGGCAAGCAAAAGAAAATTGTACTCTTTTATTATAAGAAATGCCTTCTTCGCATTTCTGAATATTCAGGATATGGTGCAACAACGGCTGATCTTTCCGACAAAGAACAATACGGTTATTTCATGCGTGTGGTACCTGCGGATACGTGGCAGGCTAAACTGGTAGTTGCCATGTTGGAACACTTTAACTGGACCTATGTGGCCGTTGTTTATTCCGCTGGTTGGTTTCTTGTACAATAACACGTACAATACATACTTGAAAGAAGAATTCGGTTATTAATTAATTTTGTTTTCAAGCTTTATTTATTTTCCGCATAATTTTAACTTTTTGGAGTTTTTCTGAATTCATATATTTATGTATGAGTCATAGGAACAAGGAGCAAAGGTTGTAGGAAACTATGGTGAGAAAGGATTCGAAGAGCTGGAACGAATGATCAACAGCGATCAATCGGAGAATGTTTGCATTGCATATTCGGAAAAAGTGAAGAGTTTGGCGGAACCAGCTGAATTCGACAAGATTTTGAATTCCCTAAGGTAAGAAATGACAGAAAAATCACCATAGATTTCATCATAAATTATCTGTGAATAGGAAGAAATATAACATTAATGAATTTTTTTGATGCCATAAACTGAGAAAATAATTGTTGTTGAAATTAGAATTCTTACTTAGTATCAAGGCATTACTTTACAGTAGTCAAAAGTCGGTACCACAAGTAGTCGTCTGTTTTTGTGAAGGTCTTACGATGCGTGGAATGTTTAAAGCACAGCAGCGTCTTCGAAAAAAGAATCCGGAAATGCGGCCATTCCAGTGGATTTGTAGTGATGGTTGGAATGATAGATTAGACGTGGTCAATGGAGTGGAACTTGAAGCTGCTGGAAGTTTCTCCATTAGGTAATAAATGGAACAAATGCGCCTTTCAAGCAGTCTTATTATTACCTGCGAAATAATGAGCAGAAGTTTTTTTTTTTTCATAACCTTTAATCTTTCGAACATCAGTACCACATCTCATGTAATTCCTTTCGCTTCCAGGATACATTCTCCGCACGTAAAATGGTTTGATCAGTATTACTTCTCTTTAAATCCAGAAAATAATATACTCAATCCGTGGTTTCGAGAGTTTTGGCAGGAGAAATTTAACTGTCAATTTGCGGTACCCAAAGATGATTTGGAAACAAAAATTTGCACTGGACGGGAGAATCTCACACTAAATTATAAACAGGTATACATATGTAACGAAAAATTAATATTTCGCCTTTTGATTTAAAAATTTGTCACCTATATAGCTATGATTACTAAGCCAATTAGATCAATTATCAACGTTGACAAATGACAAACTGATGTTATCCAATGTAATGTGAAAATATTTTGGGATGAAATGTCTGTTGATTATACACTTTGAAATATTAATGCTATCTTCATAAACAACCATTCGGTCATTCCTTTCTCAAATCACATTATTCTTATATTTTCTGGTACTAATTTTACCACATATGCTCTAAACTACAAATTTTAGGATGCAAAATTGAGTCAAGTTGTAAATTCGATTCGTGTCGTTGGATTAGCTCTCCAGACATTGTACAACGATCGTTGTAGGGAAAATTCGACAATGTGCACTGAAATATTTGCACTGAATGGTACTTTGCTGCTCAAATACATGCTCAATGTTACATTTGTCGACCAGTTCAATCAAGAAGTTTATTTCGATGCTAATGGTGATCCACCTGCCTGGTATGTCTATTCTTATTATTACAAATATAATTCATAGCATTGAAGTTATGTTATATATAACTGTGTATCAAATTTGTGTAGTTGCTGGTAGAAATAATTTCATTTTGTTGCGGTAATTTCTTCTGGATATATCTTTGATTGAGGTAACATTCATCATCCGATCGATGCTACTGAGAGAGTTTTGATTAATCAATAGCTTTAAAAATGTTATAATGTTTTGGATGAAGACAAATAAATAAGAATTTTTTTTTTAAAATTAGGTATGATGTTTTGAACTATGTTGGTGGTGAGGAAGGTTTTCGTATGGTTGGTGAATACCGGAAAAAGCGTCTTGGGAAGTACCGATTAAAAATTACAAAGGATAATATCATGTTTTATGATAAAACAAATCAAATTCCAGAATCGGTTTGCAGTAAACCTTGTAAAATCGGACAGCGAGTGAGTTCTGATGTATAATTTCCAACAATAAAATTCTGAAAATCAATATAACGTAAGAGTAAATCTTTTCTTCTTCTGCGCATTCTTGGATAGAAATAATCAGTCTCGCATTCTCGAAATATAGAAATTATTGATTATTTAGACAGTTGTAAATGACTGTGAAAACAAACTTTTAATTTGGTGATTTTCGTCATTTGTAGCAAAGGGAAACAGCGGCTTGTTGTTGGATTTGTGAAGATTGCTTGGCGTATCAAATCATCAACTATACAACACGTGTGTGCCAGAATTGTACGCTTGGATGGTGGCCTAATGGAGATCACACTAGTAGGCATACTTTTCTGCATCTTTTTAAATTTCTCATTAAATTTCCGTCGTTTATTTTAATCAAATTTTTAGAGACGTATTACTCAACTGAAGAATAACAGCTGTAAAAGTTTTATTAAAGAATAGATATTACATCATTCTTTTTGATCCAGTATTATACAAACTTTCAGCTTGCCATCCATTAGTACATGAAGGACCAGATTGGTCATCTACAGGTATCATCCTCGCTTTGTTACTTGCATCCTTGGGCATATTAATGACATTATTCACCGTATTGATATTCATTCGTTATAATCATACTCCTGTCGTCAAATCAACCACCAGAGAGTTATCCTATATAATTCTGAATGGTGAGTGCTTAATAAAATGGAATGTTACTCCTTTATTCGTGAATTTGATTAATTTGTTGATGCTATAACTTAACTATGTCATACATTTTCAGTACAACTCATTGTTACTGCAAAAATTCCAAGCTGAAAAAACTGCTACTGTTCAAATCCTAAACTCGAAACCATTTTTTTTACGATTATCCCTTTGTTTATTTTCAGGAATTACTATTTGCTATGCAGTATCATTCGCTGTACTTGCGAGACCATCATTTGTGACCTGCTTTATATCACGTACGCTACCTCCTGTTGGTTTTTCAATGATTTATTCAGCACTTCTCACCAAGACGAACCGTATTGCCCGTATTTTAGCAGGAAGCAAAAAACGCATCTTAACGAAAAAACCACGTTTCCTGAGTACTGCATCACAAGTAAGCAATATCTCTTCATCAGTAATTCCGAACTCTAGACATTCAATATTTTAATATAGATTTCGTTAGAAAGAGATGAGAATAACGATGGAGATTGGTAAAAAAAATTTCAAAAGCTTTGATTATTACAAACTATTAGTAGGACGAGAATGGTCATATAAATTTAAATGTCCGTAGGATATTATTATTAGATAACATCAAAATCGATGATTAATGCGAGGAAAAGATCAGAGATAGCATTTTTGATACAGGTGGTAATTACATGGATACTTGTATGTATCGAATGTGTTATTATTGCTGCTGGTGTAATGGGGGAAATGCCGCAGGCCGGTTTTGATCCGTATTATCAACCTCGACGTATGGTACTTGTATGCTCAACGACAACATTTGCCTTTTTGATGCCATTTTTCTGGAATCTTTTCTTGATATCACTTTGTACATTATATGCGGTTAAAACGAGAAATCTACCGGAAAATTTTAATGAAGCGAAATTTATTGGTTTCACCATGTAAGTTAATTTGTGGAAAATGCAAGAAAAGTGCCGTTTATATATTTCACGAGTGCTCAAATGCCAAGTATATCTGCTCATTAGACTATCGATTGGATTGGCTTTAAGATCTTAATTGGCCAAAATATACAGTTATTTTTCTCTTCATTTATAGATTTTGGAGATTAAGTCAACACAATGCTTTCATACTTCATTTGTTTATTTCATTATCAATTGATAATAACAAACAGATATATGGCAAGATCAGAATGCTTTTATCTTAATGATACCTGATTCTTTTATAATTATTTTGAACTGATTTTTTCAGGTATTGTACTTTGGTCGTTTGGTCAGCATTTATCGTTCTTCATTTGGGTACAACAAATAAAGCACTCACTATGAGTTTTTCATTCAGTCTCTCAGCCAGTATAGCCTTGGTGTTATTATTTTTCCCGAAACTTTATATAATCTTATTGCATCCGGAAAAGAATGTTCGAGCAAGTTATACAACTACCAAATTGATACGTTGCCATTTTGGCAATTCACAAACGACGGAAAGAGCTAGTAAAGAAACAAATAATTGGAAGTCCGGATCCAGTCAACGCTCTATTTCTATTTCAAGGTAGATATTGTTTTTGGTTTGTTCAGTAAATAAGAATTAATGGTTTCTATTAATGTTATATAACAATTCATTCAGTGTCAGATAATCAATGATGTGTGCCGGAATTATTTATAGCATTTCTCTCAATCATATCAACTTACAAAAAAAAAGAGAAATAGTAAAAATAGTCTCAGGAGCGAAGCCGGATCTCAGAGAAGATATGGTTACCGAAAACGTAAACTATCAGTTCACGTCAGCCAAAGCCCGTCACAAGATGCATCGACACAAACTGAATCCAACAAAATAACTTCTAAGTTTGCTCGAACATTCTCTATTATTAGTAGCGGTCTTGGTACTGCCGGTACAAGTGGTGCTGAACATGGTATCAAGCAATTTGAGGTAAATGACGACGTACAGCAATTAATTGATTCCTGTCGAAGGTATCAGGTATAGAACAATTACTCGTCCTGTAGCATTTATTTATAAAGTTTTATCGCGGGTATCCGTGATATTAAGATGGGACGTGATAGGACAATGCAAATTTCCAAAGCAAAACTTTTTGAGAATTAAACAATTAATTTTACTTTTTAGTTAGAAGTTGAAAAAGATTTCAATAATATTTTATTAGCATAAACTTCTAATATTTATTTCTGGATATTCCGCAAGTTTTAACTTTTCATAAAGTTATAGCATAGACTTTTAAATTTGAATTTTTATGAATTTTAGCTAATTTTTTTACCAAAGATTTTGTTTTTTTTTGCAGATTTCACAAGACGAACGGCTGCATGGCTCCGTGAGAAATTTATTGTTGATGAAAAAGGAAGAAGAAAATGAAAATATTGGTTACTTGATTGCAGATTCAATGAAAACCGTTCTCAATACGGTTTCAAAGCAAGTTTTACCCACGACTTCAGCATTATCACACACTCAAATATCCAATGAAGACAGTAAATTCGAGCAGGTTTGCTGCAATTTTGATAAATGTTAATAAACTGGTAACCTGAAGTAACTTGCCGGGAGTACGTCTTATGTAGCAATGGTTTTCATCAAATTGGAGTTATTATTTCACGCTCGGTAGTTAATTGAAGTTCAGAACTTAGTTATACCAGGCGTATGATAGATAAACAGAATAGCTGGAATTAAATACAGAAAAGGTGAGAAATATTAGTAAAAACAGATGGAATAATGATCAAAAGTAAGGTAGCAAAAACAAACATACATAGGGATGAGTTTCATACCCAATTTTAAAGGCAAGCAAAGGTTAAATTATTTATTAAATAAAGGTGAGAATTAAAAAAACATAGTTGAATTGAGGGATCAACTTTTTCAATCAGAGTTACGTCTAGAAGCTGTGCAATCGATCGATTCCTTTCTCTCTGTAAAGATCTTTTAAATAGCAAAACTTTGAAATTTAGTTCTCGATGCATTCATTCCAGCTACTGAAGAGTCGTGGTATGGAACCTTTACAGTTAACAAATGCGACACCATTATGATCAGTCATTCGATTTCTCTTTCTTCTTTCATTCATGTAAATTGGTCTCTATTCTGATTTTTTTGAAAGCTTTGAAATTTTCCTCAATTATTCTCGATTTGAAAATTCACTAATTGCGAAAATTGATTTGAATTATGGGATATTTGGTTCTCAGACAGAAAATTGGTCGACTTTTTATTCTTAGGTTATAGAACTTCGATGACTTAGCTGCTACTCACATCAACATAATTAACCGTACCTCCAGGTTTGCTTTTTTGTAGTAATTAATATTTCAAACTTTTGAAAGATAAAACAAGTCTAAAGAAGACCCTCATGATATCAATTTGTTTTTGAAAAGCATTCCACAAACAGTATTTACTTGTTAATTAACATTTTCTTCCATTTTACTCAATACTACTGATCTCATTTGTTATCATTTTGAGAAGTTTGTATATCACATACGTGTTCTGGCAGGATTATCTTGCCGATATCACTTAAATAAGGTTTCCTTTATTTTTCTTTTCTATTTTTGAGTGCACCTGTTCGTATAAAATAAATAACACTGAATTGGAATGATTCCGGAATCAATGTTTAAAATACTTTGGAATACCGATTCGGAACCAAATGTTTGAATAACATAAGTTGCAGATTTTGACTGACCCGAGTATACTATATCAAGCTGAACTGATTTTGAACAGAAATACTAAAAGAAATCAATGTTATCCAAAAGAAGTCACGAACTGAAAATGAAATAATTCTTGAAATTCAAATATGCTCTATTGACTTCCAATAATATTAAAAAATGTTTTGTTAATAATAAAAGTAAAAAATTTACTGGACAAAGTGGTGAATTTAATTACTATTCATTTTATGTATATAAAATGTATTTTTGGTTTATATGTAGCGTAGAATGAAGTTCGTTATAAAAATTTGGAAATTTTTTTACAATTCATAAAAAGGGAGTAGAAAGAAATTGTTTTCCCGCGAATTCGGAGAAGTCAAGATCAACAGAATTTGGAGAAGCCAAGTTCAAGAGTAATTTTCAAGAGTAACATTATCTAAGGAACAGTTAATTATAATAAATTTGTTTGTGTATATTTTTTTCCGTATTTTTTTAGTTCGAACGGTTTAAAATTTTAAATGATTGGTTCCTGGGCTTAAACAGAATAGAACCTGAACAAGAATTGTTCGGAAACGCTTTTTATCAGTCGGGCATATCGTAACTAATCAAAATTCTTGAAGCCATTCCATCCGTTGAAACTGAGTATTTTCCGATTCAATAATGGATGAGGTGGTTATGGGAGGAAAAGTGAAGATGGAGACATGCGATCATAGGAAAAATTGAGGAAGCATTCTGAACTTCCAGAATATTTTGAATTCAGTTACATTCTACGATTAAATGCCTGCAAAGTCTTTAATGAAAACTATAAAGATTTTTGAAAATCATTCGATAGACGTTGCACATATTCATTTTATGATGGTCAAGATGGTATGACCAGAGAAGTTCCATTCTTAGTAATGCTTATAAGGATTGTTTAAACTTTTTAGACCTAAACTAAAGAAAAAAACTGCACTTTAATTTAAAGTACATATTTCATGTCTATAAAAAGTGATAAATTCAATTCGAATGATATGGTGACGATATCTTCTGCCTAACATTGCCAATAATTTCAACCATTTATGTCTCTAGCAAATATTTCAGATTTAAATTAAATCAAAAAAATTTTTCTACGAAGCGATTCAAGTACAGCAGTAATCAATAAGTAATCGTGAAGTATTTTTTACTTTAATTCGTGACGAAGCATAAATTAATGGTTAGAGCAAATCGAACTGCATTCATTTCTTTTAATTTGATAAATACAAAAAGTTCACAATGAAAAGTGCATAAAATGATCTGTTTTATGGATCATTACAAATGACTTAATTTTTGCTACTATTTGAATTCAATTCCCTTTTTTTGCCATATTTTTTCTATGCGCTAATAGTGTTGAATTAGCAACTATGTGCTTTTCATGTATTGCACTTTCTCTGGATTACTGAATTTATTACAGAAATTCCATTACAATTCACAATTTTTATGAATTATTTGAAATGTTCCTGCCTTATTAGCTATTGTATTTTTACAAGTTCAATTTGGCTTTTTGATGACAGCGTAGAGAGACGAAGTATAATAAATAATTAAATGATCAAAACTTGTCTTTGTCCGTGATGATGATAGGTAGGCAGATTGTTCCTTTTTCATATTATAATGTTATTAAGCCTAATTAACACATTAAAAGTTTCGTTTGAACTTTGTTTTTAAATCAACAGAATTTATTTCTGAACTTTGTAGTTCATGCTGCAAATATCGGGAAAATCGAAGGAAATGGTAATACGGTCAAAGAGCTAAAAAATTAATTGTAAACAATTTGTTTTATAAGGTCAATCGGTAAATATTTTCTCCTTTGCTAAAGGTCAATTTGTTGTATAAGGTCAATCGGTAAATATTTTTTCCTTTGATGTTGAAATGATTTATGGCAATTTTCTCTTTTTACAAAGAAATCTAATCTTCTGTGTAGCCATCTCCTGTAATAAAATTATAGTCGGCTTTGTAAGAACCTTAAATGGAGATATTATCTTATCTTAAGCCCAATCCACTTGGGGGCAATATAAAAGCCTCCAATAACCGCATTCTGATTCATTCTTGATCATTCATTAACTCGATCATTCAAAACTAACGCTGTCGAAGACTGCACTCAACGCCTGGTTCGTCTCCTACACCTCGACCTTTGACTAACGATTCAAATAAACTGCAACTATCAATTCTCCTAATTTCACTACCAAAAATCATTCCATTATAATTTCTATTCTTTTACTTCTGAATAAACCCTTTTCTTTGCGATTCAACACATTCACACGAAAACTTTTACGACGGCAAATAAGAAAGCCAAAGCAGTTCCTGGTCAAGAAAAGATTAGGAATCACTTTTTTAGAGGATATGGTAACCTGTTCAGGACTAAAAATTACAGCGAATTTTTTAAGTGATAACAATTTTTTAGATATTTTTTAGGTGAACGATTATTGTGGTTTTAAATTAGCATAAAAATTTGTAAAGTTGGAAAAATAATAGACAAGGAGGAAGATCTTTTCGTTACGAAGGAAGAGATGAAGAAAATCAGCATTCGAATACAAAATTGTAACAAATGTAATGGTTCAGTGAGTGAAATGCAATTAGATTTAGAGAGTAATCTTTCATAAAAAATTCTTGCTTTACCGATACTTGAAAATGTCAAATGTCGATTGGAAGAATTATTACTGTCATTGCACTCTGTTTCATGATAATTGGTTTAACGATACATTACGTCAAATATATTTTTAACAAATATAATTAGAATATTGCAAGTTTTTTCAGGAACGCTATCAAAGATCTAAAGTTGGAAGGCAACATTGATTTTAAGATTAAGTATCAACTGCAATTGTTAGTCCTGGACATTTATACGTGAATATAAAAGACCAATCAATAGGTTGTGATTAGAAAACCTCTTTCAGTGGATTGTGAAAGGTTATCAACCTATCAGATACAGAATATCCCGGAGGAAATACATTAATGAAACAAATTTTAAAATTTCTAAACAAAGGTGAGGAAAATTCTAATTTCATTTGTACTAACTGGAATTTCGAGATTAAGTTTTAGCGTAGTCAGGCGAGGGAGACCATGATTGCACTCTTAAGACGGTGTATAACAATTCCCAAATAACGTTAACCAGATGTAATATCTGCCTAAGACACTTTGGAACAGTTGGCATCATTAGTATGGTTTCTGAATGTTGAAAGCAAAGGTCAAATTCAATTTGCAAATTAGTCAAACTGTTTCAGATTCCTTCTAATGATTAAGCAAAGAAGTAAAGGTAG